TAGAGATGCTCATGAAAAGAAGTGGGGAATGAAAGAATCCATATTAGGGCATCAAATTTTTGTGTACTTTAGCTAACTTGCAACATTGCTTTCTGTAAAACTGCTTGGCTGCTTTGCACCTGGGGGAGAGGGGACTTGCAAAGTGAACAGGGCATAACTTCTTTCTACAAGATTCAGGTGTATTTACTGTCCCTGAAATGTATTGTCTCAGTAAAGCACCCTGCAGATTTGGGTAAAGGCTAACTCAGGATGCTGGTGGTTGGGGGAAATTGCCCTTTCCTGGAATGTATTGTCTCACTAAAGCACCCTGCAGACTTGGGTAACACAAAACGAGGATGGTCAAGGGAGATTACCTAAGGCTTAATGATTCCAGCTATAACCTTGCTTGTGCTGACAATCTATGTACGTAAATGCTGATCTTTGAATCTATAGGCTAAGGAGTAAGGTACTTTTAAATGGATTGGTTAAGAAAGTATATGTTGTTACAAATCTATTGGCTATGAAATGCGCGGGCTTTGCTGTAACGGCCAGTGAAGGCCTATATAAGATCCCCTTTGAAGAAGTTCGGGGCTCTCAGCCACTGCCCATTTCTGGGGTATGCTGCGGAGCCCCAGCATGCTGGTCTAAATAAACCCCGTTTTTACTCCTGCAGGAATTGTGTCTATCTGGTCTCTCCGCGCCTCCCAGGGCCAGGGAACTCCCGATCCCAACATCGCCAAGAGAGAACCAAGAGTCCGGGAGACGCCACAGGCCCCCAGAGCAGAATCTAGGGGTGCTGATGGTGGGGTGCGCTGAGCAGGCAAAAGGAGGGGTCACGGAACAGAGCGGAACTTCCAACACCGGCGCCGGGAAACTTTCAGCAGATATCCCGACGGTAGCCCGTTGGCATGGATTTGGGGGGTGCCCCAGAACTGTCACTGGATAAAGGAATGTCCCCAAGAGGGACACGGTGCAGAAGCAAGAAAGTGGCGTGGGCTCCGCAGAGGGTCGGCGCTGGACACCTGCCATCCAAGAGAGACGATGGAAGCAATGGTGATGGGGACAGGCAGAGGTCCCCCCAATGGCAGGACCCCGAAGGACCACAACTGCTGGGTCGCGTTGGAATGAGAAGGGCCGAAGTGGAGACCCGGAGGGGGGACAGGCCAGTTCGGGGTGAAGGTTCAAGGGGGGAGGGTGGAGACAGCAATTCGATTTGCTTTCCACTCGGACCATCCAGGGAGCAAAGAGGAGACATGCCACGGAGGTAAAGGTCTGTGGGAAGCCAGGGACAATGCTTAGTGCTCTGGAGAGAGGGGCCGCAAGCCTGGGGGTGGATAGGTGTGGAGAGAGGCGGGCAGAGATGGAGCAGGAGAGAGAGGAGTTAGAGAGGGGATTCTGGGAAATGAGAGGGGGAGGAAGAGGGAGAGGGCGAGAGAGAGGGAGAGAGAAAAGAGAGAGGGAGAGAAAGGGAGAGAAATGGAAAGAGAGAGGGAGAGAAAGGGAGAGAGGGAGAGAGAGGGAGGAAGGAGAGAGAAGAAGAGAGAGGGAGAGATGGAGAGAGAAAAGAGAGGGAGAGAGGGAGAGAGAAGGAGGAGGGGAGAGGAAGAGAGAGGGAGAGAAAGGGAAAAAGAGGGAGAGGAGAGAGAGGGAGAGGAGAGAGGGGGGAGAGGGAGAAAGAGGGTGAGAAAGGGAGATGGAGAGAGAAAAGAGAGAGGGAGAGAAAGGGAGAGAGAAAAGAGAGAGGGAGAGGAGAGAGAGGGAGAGAGGGAGAGGAGAGAGAGGGAGAAGAGAGAGTGGGAGAGAGGGAGAGGAGAGAGAGGGAGAGAGAGGGAGGGAGGAGAGAGAGGAAGAGAGGGAGAGAGAAAAGAGAGAAAGGGAGAGGGATAGGGAAAAGAGAGAGGGAGAGAAGGGGAAAGAGAGGGAGAGAGAAGGAGAGCGAAAAGAGGGAGGGAGGGAGAGGGAGATAAAGGGAGAAAATGGAGAGAGAGGGAGAGAGAAGACAGTGAGGGGGAGAGAGAGGGGAAGAGAGGGAGAAAGAGAGAAAAGAGGGAGAGAGAGAAAGAGAGGGAGTGAGGAGAGGAAGGGGAGCGGGAGAGGGAGGGAGAAAGGGAGAGAGAGGAAGAGGGAAAGAGAAGGAGAGGGAGAGAGACAGTGAGAGGTAGAGAGGGAGACAGAGAGTGAGAGGGAGGGAGAAAGAGGGAGAGAGGGAGCGAAGGAGGGAGGGAGGGAGGGAGGGAGAGAGACTGTGTTCATCCACTGAGACACCCAAACGGAGATGGGAAAGAGAGGGGTCTCTGATTCCTTGCTTTCAGGGTTCATGTGGAAAGAAGAGCTTCTGGGGAACCCGTGATGGGATGGGCGAGTCAAGGGGCCCCAGAGCATGGGGGGGGGAAGGCCAAACGGATCCTGAAAGCCGTGTAGACTGTGTCTCAGCAAGAAGTGGCTGAGTCCATATCAGTCACAGTAGAATCAAGGTGGGCTCCGAACAGACTAGACGAGCTGACCACTGGGAAGGGCAGTGGCCCAAAGACCACTTCCGGTGGTCCCGGAAGTCCAAACTCCCATCAACACTGCCAGATCCGGCCAGTCCTTCCGCCACGGGCCACTGGGAAACCGGAGTGGGCTGTACCATTTGGGGCAGTCACCAGCCCCCCTACACAGAAAACTCAGAAACGCAGCTGGCGGTGGGCCAGAGTCTCCTCGCTCTACCCATAGGAGACTCCTTGGCAGGGTCTTCTAGACCGAGAAGGATGGGAAGACGCTGAGCTTGAGCGAATGTGGGGGCAGCTTTGGCTCAAGAGGGCTCAGAACATGGTGTGGAAAGTGACCGTAGCAGAAGCAACACTCTCACCTTCTCGGGAGGAAAACGTAAGCCCCCAGTTTCTGATTTGGTTCTCTGTGTCTATGTGTGACTCACTTCTATTCTCAGTGCATCATGGTCTGAAAAGATCGTTGATACTATTTCTAACTTCCTGATTCTATTGAGCTATGTTTTGTGGCCTAGCACATGGTCTATTTTGGAAAATGTTCCATGCACACTGGAGAAGAATGTGTATTCTCTCTTTTTGGGGGTGTAAAGCCCTGTATTGGTCTATAAGCCCTCTCTCTTCTATTTCTTCGTTCAAAGCCAACGATTCCTTGCTGAGTTTTGTTCTTGTTGATCTATCCAGAGGTGATAAGGCGATGTCGAAGTCTCCAACTACTATTGTGTTGCTAGCAATGTCCTCCTTAAAATCTGTTAGCAGTTGTTTTAAGTATTTAGCTGTTCCCTCATTAGGTGCGTATACGTTTACGGGTGTGATTTCTTCCTGTTGTACGTATCCCTTGATGAAGAGAAAGTAGCCTTCGCTGTCCCTCCTAATCTTTTTCAACCTGAAATTAATGTTGTCGGATACTAGTATGGCCACCCCAGCTTTTTTGAGGGAGCTGTTTGCTAAGCCCCAGTTTCTAAGCAGAGGGCCCCAAACTTATATAACCTGCCACCCACTTTTTAAAAAAAAATGAGGGCTGGAGCGATAGCACAGCAGGGAGGGTATTTTCCTGGCATGTGGCCGACCAGAGTTTGATTCCCAGCATCCCATAGGGTCCCCCGAGCACCGCCAGGAGTGATTCCTGAGTGCAGAGCCAGGAGTCACCCCTGAGCATCACAGGGTGTGACCCGAAAAGAAAAAAAAAGAATGCAGTGGGAAAGGTATTTGCCTAGCTCACAGCTGACCGTGGTTTGACCCCTACCTTCCCACAGGGTCCCCTGAGCACTGTCAGGAGTGACCCCTGAGTGCAGAGTCAGGAGTCAGCCTTGAGCATCACCTGGAATGGCCCCCAAAGCAAAACAAAACAATTTCCCAGGTTGACTTCTGGTGGCACCTCCCTGGAAGGTAAGACCCCTTAAACAAATAGGAAGTGTCCCTTTCAAGCAGTTGTGTTAAGTCTTCCATCACCCCAGTGGGTATTTCCAGCCCTTAGGGCTGGAGCAAGAGCACAGCGGATAGGGCTTTTGCCTTGCACGTGGTCGACCTGGGTTCGATTCCTCCACCCCTCTCGGAGAGCCTGGCAAGCTACCGAGAGTATCCCGCCCACACGGCAGAGCCTGGCAAGCTCCCCGTGGTGTATTTGAGATGCCAAACACAGTCACAACAAGTCTCACAATGGAGACGTGACTGGTGCCCACTTGAGCAAATCGATGAACAATGGGACGACAGTGACACAGTGCTACAGTGCTACCCTTGGGGGTGGATGTTACCTACTTTGGGGGAACAGTACACTGGAGCAAGACACAGCATCAATGGTGGCACCCAGAGCATCTTAGCCCAGGAGGTTGGGTGCTGGGTGCCGCTTTATCTTCCTGGCATACCATTGACAACAAAGCTCCCTGTCTGCCCCCAACTCTGGCTCAAGAAGGCTTTGGAGGTCCGACTTCCGGCGCTTTCTTTTCTTTCTTTCTTTTTTTTTGCTTTTTGGGTCACACCCGGCGATGCTCAGGGGTTCCTCCTCGCTCTGGAATCACTCCTGGTGGTGCTCAGGGGACCCTATGGGATGCCGGGGATCAAACCCGGGTCAGCTGCCTGCAAGGCAAACGCCCTCCTTTCTGTGCTATCACTACAGCCGCTCGGTGTTTTCTTTTCTTTTCCTTTTTTTTGGGGGGGGGGTCATACCCGGCGATACCTAGGGCTGACTCCCGGCTCTGCACTCAGGAATCACTCCTGGTGGTGCTTGGGGGACCCTATGGGATGCTGGGAATCGAACCCGGGTCGGCCGCGTGCAAGGCAAACTCCTTCCTCTCTGTATTACCGCTCCGGCCTGAATACTATTGCTCCAAACTGAGTAGCTAATTAAAAAAAATTGACAGTGATTTTCAACTGCCAGGGCTGGGTATAAAAGGACATAAAATGTCAAGCCCCTCTTTCTGATAATCAAGAGACACTGTCCTCCCAACGACCCCATGTGGCGCTCTGGTATTAGTCCCCGCACCTCAGCAAGCTCAAGGGTGAACGCAGAGTATACTGACCCCCATCCAACGCTACCCCTCCCCCAGGTATTTCTCCTGCGCCCACCACAGTACCTTTGCTGATGTCTTCATATTCCAGCCAGAGCCGCCGCTGCACCTGCTTGTTGGGGTACCAGATCGAACAGGACTCCTCGAAGCCGTAGACGGCTTCCTGGATGTAGTGGTTGCCAAAGTGGTCCAGGAGGGCCACGAAATCCGCCCGCGAGGTGGCACCATCCAGGGAGTGGAGGGCGTTGCTCAGAGCTATGGGGAAAGGAGCATCGTGGCAATTAAGACAGGAAGCCGGCCTCACAGGCTGGGGGGAAAAGGCAGCTGGAATGGAGAAGGGACCACTAAGTGAAGGATGCCTGGAGGGCTCGCTTGGGATGGGAGATGCGTGCTGAAAGTAGACTATGGACCAAACGTGATGGCCACTTAGTACCTGTTTTGCAAACCTTAACACCCAAAGGGAGAGAGAGAGAAAGAGGGAATGTGCCTGCTATGTTACGTTTCGGTCATACAATGGTCGAGCACCCATCCCTCCACCCGTGCCCAATCTCCATCATCAATGTTCCCAGTATCCCTCCCACCAACCCCACCCCTTCCCCCCCGCCTCTGTGGTAGACACCTTCCCTCTTACTCTCTCTCCTTTGGGGTGTTGTGGTTTGCAATACAGGTACTATCATGTTTGGTCCATAGTCTACTTTCAGCACACATCTCCCATCCTGAGCGAGCTCTTCAAGCATCATTTACCTAGTGGTTATTTTATTTATTTATTTGGACTTTTGGGGTCACACCGAGCGATGCTCAGGGGTTCCTCCTGGCTCTGCACTCAGGAATCACTCCTGGCGGTGCTCGGGGGACCCTATGGGAGGCCGGAGATCGAACCCGGGTCGGCCGCATGCAAGGCAAGTGCCCTACCCACTGTGCTATCACTCTGGCCCCCCCTAGTGGTTATATTTGACCTTTGACTTGGAGGCTTTTGGAGGTCACACCTGGCGATGCTCAGGGGTCACTCCTGGCTCTGCACTCAGGCAAGTTTAAGCCAGACACTGCAATGCTCTATCGCTCCTGCGAGGTCACTGTCGTCTTGCTTCACTTTTTCTTTTCTTCCCAGTCAAAGTCATAATGTGAGGAGCTGGAGCGATAGCACAGCAAGGAGGGCGTTTGCCTGGCACGCGGCAGACCCGGGTTCGAGCCCCTGCATCCCAGAGGGTCCCCTAAGCACCACCAGGAGTGATTCCTGAGTGCAGAGCCAGGAGTCAGTCCTGTGCATCACCGGGTGTGACTCAAAAAGAAAAAAAAAGGAAGGAAGGAAGGAAGGAAGGAGGGAAGGAAGAAGGAAGGAAGGAAGGAAAGAAAGAAAGAAAGAAAGAAAGAAAGAAAGAAAGAAAGAAAGAAAGAAACAGTCATCATGTGAGAACCATTCTGCGGGCTCAAATCAAAAGTCAAACAATAGGACAGGGCCACCCAAGACAGAAACAATTGCCTGCAATAAATAAATAAATACAAAGGGGACTCAAACAACATGCGAAAAGGTGGGCAGGGCTTCTGTTTGTTCTAGAAGTTCCATGTATAGGATGAAAACTGCCCGAGGGCAGAAAGAAGCTTCCAGCATCCCTCACTGCCCAGTGCCAAAGTCCCCATGGACTGGCTTTTCTCCAATGAAGAATTTTTTTTTCTGCCAAGTTTTCTGTAGCCCCAACTCGGCAACTCTGAGCGCAGGCAACTTTCTAGAACCTTCTACGCTGGCAGGGAAGGGAGGGAGGGGAGACTAGCTCAGGGTGCAAACCCCAGTTCTGAATTCACAAATGGTGGGGGATGCTGTTAGTGATTGTAGGGGGCCTATGACTTACTGTTAATCCCTGCTGGGTAAAGCAGGAAACTGTGTGTGTGTGTGTGTGTGTGTGTGCTTGTGTGTATGTTTTGTGTGTGTGTGTGTGTGTGTGTGTGTGTGTGTGTGTGGTGGGGGGTATACTGAGTATTCCTAGAGTGAGAAATTGCTCATTCCTTGTAGGATAACATTGGTTTGTCCTTTCTGCCTTGTTGCAGGGAGCTCAGGCTGATTGGGTTACTCTCGTCACAGTGCTCCCATTCCTTGGTGCTTATTTGTAACTTCTTTCTTTGTGCTCTGTTAACTTGCAAATCTTGTTTTCCACTTCTCCTTAAGTCCTCTGCATAGTTAATTCAGATCAACGTACTTTGTGTATGGACACAGACAAGAAAAGACAGTAGATGCTATGCTTTTGTAACGTGGGAGTTAGTTGACTCTGAATGATATTTACCTCCTGACCTCAGTCTCTGCTACCCTTACCTCCTAGCACCCCCAAAGCAGGGTCCCAATGAGGGACTGGATGGACCCAGGGCAAGCGGTGAGCTATGTGCTACCCTGGCATCGAAATGGGCCTGGCCAAAATGCCAAAATGCTTAACCATAAGTTAAGAGCTTGGTCATGGACAAATTCTGTCATGATCCAAAAAGCAATAACTAGATTCGGACCCTGCTAGGGTTAGGAAAGATTAATCTGGCCTGAGCTCTGTAGTCTGAGTCTGTGGCAAGATGTTCCCGGGAGAGACACCCTACAAGCTCAATGTATCTCTTACTGTATCCATTAAAATTTTACTAATATTAAGAAGTAGAATTAAGATGTTAATTAAGTTATTGGACTAAGGAGAAGAGGAAAACAATATTTACAAGTTAGCAGAGCACAAAGAAAGAAGTTACAAATAAACACCGAGGAATGGGAGCACTGTGATGGGAGCAACCCAATCAACCTAAGTTCCCTGCAGCAAGGCAGAAAGGACAAACCAATGTTATCTTACAATTTTTTTTTTGGTTCACAATACAGTTGTTTCAAGCATTTAGTGTTCCAACATACTAGTGTGACCTTCACTCCACCCCAGGTCTCCCTCCGAATCCCAACCTGTCCCCTGAGGCACAGAACAAATTTACTTTATATTGCTTATTCCGACAAAGCTTTAAGAAATGGCAAATAGAGACATCAGAAAAAAAAATCAGTAAAAGCCAATTTGCCATTACTATATGATTTTGACCTGTGTAAAATAAGAAAATGGAAACTCTGTAATGCAATATAAAATATTCTCATTTACATCTATACGTTTTCAACTCTGGAATCTATCACTGTATCACTGTATCCCTGTCATCCTGTTGTTCATCGATTTACTTGAGCGGGCGCCAGGAATGTCTTCATTCGTCCTAACCCTGAGATTTTAGCAGCCTCTCCTTACTCTGGAATCTACAGTACACTAAATTTTATCTTTATACTTGGACCTCGTTATGGTAACAATCATGTTAATAACACTTTTAAAGCAATTCTGTGTTCCTATTTTGGAGTTTCCATGGAATAGGTAACACTTTCCTATGTAAATTTTCCTCCTACACTTTATCTAAACACTGTGGTTTACAGAATTGTTCGTGATGATTTGTTTCAAGCATTCAATATTCCACCCCCACTCCTACCATCATCATTACACTTTCCTCCACCACTGTCTCCAATTTTCCTAACCACCCCGTAGCCTGCCCCCACAGCAAACTCTCAATAATTTATTCTATATTGCTTCTTATCTATAATTTGCTAACAGAATGTTAAAAAATGTTTCCTTAGGAGAAAATGAGTGTCAATTGTTGTGTCTCACCATGGAGCCATTAAGCCCTCGTTTGAGAGATTACTGAGACACCGGTACAGATTAAGCCTTTTGTCTTTCCCTTTTGTTAATTGTCCCTCGGTCGTTTTTTTTTTTCTAAGTGACCTCTACCCCGGAAGCTGTTTGGGAATCTTAAGTTTTGTATTTTCCCCCTTCCTTCCTTTGTCTATTCTTCCCCTTACTCTCTCTTCTGATGGTAATTCGGTTGCTGGTATTGAACACATTCCCTCTGTCCTGTGGTAGGCAATTGACTTTGTTACTTCCTCATGACACAGGGGACAAGAAGGGGGACAGATGACAAAAAAAAAGGGTTTCTCTTCATGGGTTCCTGCCTTGTCCTTCCCGGTTTTCTAGACCCATCAGGTTCTGGCGAAAACCCACCCTTCCTTTCCCATGTCCTGAAGGGCCCCCAGCCCAGCCCTCTTGCAGCCCAAGAGGGCGTGAACAACCCAGTGAACAACTATCCAGTGAACAGCACTGGGCAGAGCGTGGGGAGCAGAGGGGGTGCCCACGCCAACGAGGGTGGGGTGTGTAAGGCGCAGTACTTACTCACCCTGAGACACGGCCACCTGGTTGAGTTTGATGTGATACATCAAGGACCGGACCTTCCAGTGCTGTAGGACGGGGTACCCCGACACCTCGCTGAAGTTCACCATCCCTGGGCAGAGAGGAGAGGGAGTGGGAGGTCCCGCCAAGACAGGGCTGTGGCGTGGAGAGCCGTGTCAGACATGGACACATATCATGAGTGTGAGTTGCCTTGCATACAACAGCAAGGAGTTTGAGGTTGTCTTTTTTTAATAATTTTTTTAAAAAATTTTATTAGTGAAACGCCATGAGGTACAGTTGTAGACTTACACATTTTTTGTGCTTGGGTTTCAGTGATACAATGATCGAGTACCCATCCCTCCACCAGTGCCCATTCTCCACCACCACTGATCCCAGTCTCCCTCCCACCCCATGAGAAAATGCTCTACATCATTAATCATCAGGGAGATGCAGATCAAAACAACAATGAGATATCATTTCACACCGCAGAGACTGGCCCACATCCAAAAGAATTTTTTTTTTAAATTTTAATGAATCACTGTGAGATACAGTTACGGACTTACAGACTTGTATGATTACACTGAGGTTCATACAATGTTCGAGCACCCATCCCTCCACCTGTACCTATTCTCCATCACTAATGTTTCCAGTATCCCTCCTGTCACCCCCGCCCCATCCCCCCCCCAACTCCCCACTTCTGTGGCAGACCCATTCCCTTTTACTCTCTCTCTTTGGGGGATGTTATGGTTTGCAATGCAGGTACTAAGCGGCCATCATGTTTGGTCCATAGTCTACTTTCAGCACGCATCCTTCATCTCGAGTGAGTCCTCCAAGCATCCTTCACTGAGTAGTTCCTTCTCCATCTCAGCTGCCTTTTCCCCCAGCACATGAGATCAACTTCCAAGCCATGGAGCAATCCTCCTGGCCCTTATCTCTACTAGCCCTTAGGTATTAGTATCCTATTATGTGACTTTATATTCCACAAATGAGTGCAGTCCTTCTATGTCTGTCCCTCTCTCTCATTTCACTGCACAGTGGTAGGGCGTTTGCCTTGTGAGCAGCCAGCCCAGCCGAGCTGGGTTTGATTCCTCTGCCCCTCTCGGAGAACCCAGCAAACTACTGAGAGTATCTCGCCCACACGACAAAGCCTGGCAAGCTACCCGTGACGTATTCAATATGCCAAACACAGTAACAAGTCTCAAAATGGAGACGTTACTGGGCCCGCTCGAGCAAATCAATGAACAACGGGAGGACAGTGTTTGACAGTGTTTTGTTGATGCTCTCCATGTCAATCCAGGGAGTTGGGGCGGAGTCATCTGGCACAGGTCTGAGTTCCGAATAGTCTCCCCTAAGAGCGGCTCACGAATTGTCTACACAGCTCGAGGCTTTACTGTAACTTACCCGAGTTCTCACCCTCCTTAATAGCTGCCGTAATTGACTTCTCCTCCAACCTGATAGCATTGATTTTTCTGTCCCACTAAACTGATTTGTGTTTAGTATTTAAGTTTTAATTACTCGGAGGCTGATAACAATGATTTTGTCTTTATCAAGAGGAGGGAAACTGTAGGGCTATGCCAGAAGGGGGAGGGAGAGCCTACTTACAGTGCCCTCTGGGTTCCAGACCCTCTTTGGGAGTCCCCCTGCTCCCAACTGGAGAACTGAGTCCCCAAGAAGTCAGGTCATTTGTCCAAGGCCGTGCCCCCAAAAAACTTCCTCTTCCTGATGTTATAACTGGCTGTTTGCCTTGAAAACCTTGGGAAAATGAGTTGCCCCTATTTGAATTCTAGAACATATCATAAATATAAAAGGCCTTTATTAATAAAAAAAAGAAAACAGAATAATTAGGCCAAGGGGATAAAAAAAACAACGCGCTAAGTTTAGAAAATTGATTTAGCTTCATTCTAATGCTTTGTGTTTGCTGTTTGGACTCATTATAGAAAATCGGACACAATGGCAGCCCAAATACAGGCATAGTGAGAGGTTCTAGATGCAGTTGTAAATAGAACGGTGCTGGGGGCTGGAGCAATAGCACAGTGGGGATGGCATTTGCCTTGCATACGGCTGACCCCGGTTGGATTCCCAGCATCCCATAGGGTCCCCTGAGCACCGCCAGGAGTGATTCCTGAGTTCAAAGCCAGGAGTAACTCCTGAGCATCTCCGGGTGTGACCCAAAAAGAAAAATAAATAGAACGATGCTAATATATCCATAGTGATATCTCTTGCAATGTTAGCCTAGGCTTCGTGCAGGCTACATCAACTCATCCTTAAACTAGACGAAGAGAGGGTGCTTCCCAGTTGCTGAGTAACTGTCAGGTTTCTATTTCTGTGAGAATCAAAGAGGGTGAATGATTGGGGAGACCAAAAGGAGAAAGCGATGCTCGGGGGTCACTCCTGGCTCTGCACTCAGAAATTACTCCTGGTGGTTCTTGGGGGACCATATGGAATGCCAGGGATTGAATCCGGGTCAACCGTATGCAAGGCAAATGCCCTCCCCATTGTACTGTTACTCCAGTCCAGCGTAGGTCCACTTTAAAAGCATAGCAATGAAGTCCACACTCTACAAGTTTGAGAGTAATGACATCTACCTCTTTGGAACATAAAACCCACAAGATGTGGAGAGTGGATATACCTGAGCATAGCCCCCGACACCCCCAACCCACCATCACTACCACCACCACAAACTTTGGGCAACTGGTCTACCTCACATGCATCCTCTAGTTACGGATGCTCGCTGTTTTACTGTTATTTAGAAAAGAAGACAAATAAAGCAACAGCAAGGTCAATAAATGAAGGTTTTTGCAACATATTAGACATCACACATCAGATATTCTGTTAGATATTCCTCTTCATGGCAGGAAATTGGGGGTTTGGAATCCTAATGGTGCCGCAGAGAGCCTGGGTAAGGCGAGACTCTGGCTGAGGTGCGGTCTGAAGTTGCTTGCCGTGGCCACCTGCCAAAGGGATCTTAGGGGGGCCCTAGGATTTCCTCAGCCAAGACAAAGGCTCAGCGGACCTAAGCTCTTGCTTGCTCTTCAATTCTACAAGTCCCACCAGCTGGGAAACTTTGGCTAAGGCCATTCGTTTGTATCCGTTTTCACCTCTGAGAAGTGGAGATAATGGAATTGGTCGTACCTCCTCTGTACCTACCGATTGTCTAGCGCTCAATTGTCATGGGTGAAAAGAGGCTATGAATATAAAAATTCATCTGGGGAAAGATAAAACACCACCTCCACAGAGGGGCACGCGCAAACACACACACACACACAACTTCCAAAATTTTGCTGTCCTCTGCCGCCTCTCTCTCCTCTTTCCTCAGTACTGGGTGTCGCAGTTATCCACCTTTTGGGCTTAAGTTCAAAACAACTGTAGCACTGCATTGTATCACTGTCCTCCTGTTGTTCATGGACTTGCTCGAGCGGGCACCAGTAACGCCTCCACTGTAAGACTTGTTGTGACTGTGTTTGGCATCTCGAATACGCCATAGGGAGCTTGCCAGGCTCTGTCATGCGAGTGGGACACTCTCGGTAGCTTGCCGGGTTCTCCGAGAGGGGTGGAGGAATCGAACCCGGGTTGGCCGCATGCAAGGCAAATGCCCTATCCGCTGTGCTATCGCTCCAGCCCCTCAAGACAACAAAGGAGGGAAAATAAAGGGAGTCTGGGTGTTGGGGATGGGGAGGGCTGACTGACCCCACATGCACAGAAACACCAATCTTCCTCGGAACACGCATGCCTGACCCAGTCAGGCAGCAAAGCAGCACCGCTGCTGTGGAAAAAGGAACCTCATGGTGCCTGTTCACACACAATGTAGCCGCGGGTTCCGAGAAAGGGAGAGAGGAACAGACCCTTTTTCTGACTAACTCACAGGATCTTTTCCCAGTGTGCCTTTGACTTGTCATCATCATCAGCTCTAGTGTTTTATTTTTGTTGTGATGTGGGGACAGGTTTCTGAATGACACTTCCCCCCACCCCACTCCCCGTGAACAAAATAGCTCTGGTTTGTCCAGAAAGACTTTTCCTCTGAACCTATTTCTGAAGAAAGAATGACAAAGTGGACCAATGAGGGATGGAGGAAGGAAGGGAAGGAGGGAAGGAGGGAAGAGGGAGGAGGGAGGGAGTAAGGAAGGAAGGAAAAAGGAAAAGGAACAAAGAAAGAATGGATAGAAGAAAGGAGGGAGAGGAAGGGAGGGATGGAGGGAAGAGGGAAGAAAAAAAGGGAGGGAAGTGAGAAAGAAAGAAAAAAGGAAGGCAGGAAGGAAGGGAGGGAGGGAAGAAAAAAGAAGAAGAAAAGAAAGGAAGGAGGGAAGAAAGAAGGAAGGAAGGAAGGAAGTAGGAAGGAGAAGGGAAGGAAAGAAGGAAAGCAGGCAGGAAGGAAGGGAGGGAGGTAGGGAAGAAAGGAAGGAAGAAAGGAGGAAGGAAAGAAAGGAAGGAAGGAAGGAAGGAAGGAAGGAAGAAGGAAGGAAGGAAGAAAGGAAGGAAGGAAGGAAGGAAGGAAGGGAGGGCGGGAGGGAAGGAAGAGAGAGGGAAGGGGGAAAAAGAAAGGGAAGGAAGAAAGGAAGAAAAAAGGAAGGAAGGCAGGAAAGGCAGGCAGGAAGGCAGAAAGGAAGAAAGGGAGGGAGGGAAGGAGGGAGGGAAAGGAAGGAAGGAAGGAAGGAAGAAAGGAAGGGTGGCAGGAAGGAAGGAAGGAAGGGAGGGGAGAGGGAGCGAGGGGACGCCTGTCTGCTGCAGGTTAAGTGGGGGCTCACTCACCTGTGAGGAAGTCGGGGTCCGGTGTGGGCTCGGAGATCTCCTCCAGACACTGGTTCTCCAGGGGAACTGTGGCTACTACGAGGCCGTCAGGCAGCTGCTGGTCTAACCCTCGAGCAAAGTTGTTCTGCCTAGGAGACAGAGGCAGACCTTCATTTCTTTTCTTTATTTCTGGACCACAGCCACGGTGGTTTTGCACATCCAGGGCAGGGAGGCCACTACTGTGGAGGTGACCCAACTCCTAAAAGCGGCGCTCTAGATCCACAATGGAATACTATACAGCTCTGAGCAAGGGCAGAATCATGCGATGTTTCTAGTTTGGTCCACAAGGGGGGGGGTGGTAGAGGGAAGTGGGCTGAGTAAAGTCAGCCAGAAGGCAAGGGACAGGGACAAAATTGTCTCTCCCATATGTGTGACTTAAAGATACACAGCGAGGGAGCAATCAAGGACCTAAGGCAACACAGAGAACTGTGTTTGGGGGTGATGGAGAGGGCTGAGACGGTGGGAGGTGGGTACTCTAGACCCGGGCATGGTGCTGAAAATAAGTGCCCAGGAAACCGTTATTAACCATATTGTAAATCACAGAACCTCAAGCAATAAAGATGATTTTTTTTAACTTGAAGATTTCAATGAGCTTTGGTTGATTTCTATCTGTTGACATTTACTATCTTAAACTTAAATGAGACAACATTTGGAAGAAGAGATCAATATTTCAAAATCTCAGTATTTTAAAACATCGATAATGACATTTGAAATCAAGAGTCAGAGCCGGAGCGATAGTACAGCGGGTAGGGCATTTGCCTTGCACGCGACCAAGCCGAGTTCAATTCCCAGAATCCCAGAGGGTCCCCTGAGCACTGCCAGGAGTAATTCCTGAGTGAAAAGCCAGGAGTAATCCTGGTGCATCGCCAGGTGTGATCCAAAAATAAAAAAAAAAGAATAAATAAAATAAAATTAAGAATCATAGATCCATTACATTTTAACAGGTTCTCTAAAATAAGGGGAAGTATGAGTTTTTGTGTCCTGATTCTTTTTGTTTTGGTGGCCACACCCAGTGGTGCTCAGGGCTTATTTCTAGCTCACTACTCAAGGAATCACTTCCGGTGGGGCTTGGAGAACCAGATGGGTGCTTGGAGAACCACCTGCAAAGGCCCGAACCCAGGCTGGCTGCATGCAGGGCAAGGAAAGCGCCTTGCTAGCTGTACTATCTCTCCAGCCTCAGTTGCGTTCTGACTTTGGTTACGTCTGACTGAGACGACAGCTGACTTCCAGCCTTTGTATTCAGGTCCAGAGTCACGGGACAGTCTGACTGGCAGCAAAGGACAGCTCACTGTAAGCCGGCAAAGCACTCCACTGTCGCACTGTCCTCCCGTAGTTCATCGATTTGCACGAGCGGGCACCAGTCACGTCTCCATGGTAAGACTTGTTGTTACTGTGTTTGAAATATCGAATACGCCACGGGGAGCTTGCCAGGCTCTGCCGTGCGGGTGGGATACCCTCAGTAGCTTGCTGGGCTCTCCGAGAGGGATGAAGGAATTGAACCTGGGTCGGCCACGTGCAAGACAAATGCCCTACCCGCTGTGTTATCGCTCTAGCCCCCAGCAAAGGTAAGACCTCAAATATTCCCCAGTAGGATCCCCAAAACCCTGGCCTGTGTCTGAATGTTCTTTTTTTTGGGGGGGGTGTCACACCCGGCGATGCTCAGGGCTGACTCCTGGCTCTGCACTCAGGAATCACTCCTGGTGGTGCTAGGGGGACCCTATGGGATGCTGGAAATTGAACCCGGGTCAGCCACATGCAAAAAAAACACCCTCCCCGCTATGCTATCACTCCAGCCCTGTGTGACTGAATGTTCTAATCTAGAAAAACTTCTTCCTGGTTCTTTCCACTTGTAAATGTAAAGCGAGCATTTGGGGGTGATTTGCATTAAAAACAATCTTGCAAGGACTGGAGCAATAACACAGCAGGTAGGGCATTTGCCTTGCATGCGGCCAACCCGGGTTTGGGTTCGATCCCCGGCATCCCATAGGGTCCCCCGAGCACTGCCAGGAATGATTCCTGAGTGCAGAGCCAGGAGGAACCCCTGTGCATTGCCGGATGTGACCCAAAAAGCCAAAAATAAATAAATAAATAAATAAATAAATAAATAAAACAATCTTGTAATAGGTCCCGCCCTGGGTGAAGCCCTTCCTGACTGGAGGAAGCAGGAGCCCTGGGTTCTAGAGGAGGTCATAGGGGAGATATTTTGAGGCTCATTCCAGAAAAGACAGTGGAGCTTCTTCGAAAGTTCCCCGGGGCAGCAGAGAGAGCCAGAGAGAAGAGACACGTGGCCCCAGGTTCTCACCTGAACGTTCCTCTGAGCACCTGTCCAGCCGCCACCTCTCTGGAATGGTTGTTGTAACCAAAGAACATCTCCCCAAAGAGGGTCTGGTTCATGGGGAGCTCCCGGCCCTCGCCACAGTCACCCCCTTCCGGGCAGGCCTCCGTGATGAGCTGGCAGGAGCGCCCATCCACGGCCAGTTTGTAATCCTCGATGCACCTATGAGGGGAAGAAATCAGGAGTGAGCTCGAGGGAGCACAGCCTCATCCAGTTCTTCTTCGCTACTGCACCCCGGAACTGTATTTCCAATGACGAAAGGAGCCGGTGCAACGGGACAGTGGGGAGGGCGTTTGCCTTGAATGCGATCAACCCGGGCTCCATCCCGTGGGGTCCCCTGAGCACTGGCAGGAGTGATTCCTGAGCGCAGAGCCAGAAGTGACCCCAGAGCATTGTGGCAAAAACCAAAAGCAAACTGGTGACGTCGTAAAGGAGTTACTCATCCATGAGTCATGCGGTCCATGTTGCCCAACAGGTGGGGGAAGATGGGTTTTCAGGAGCAAAGATTGGGCAACCCCAATGTGATCCTCTTATATTTTTCCCCTTTTTTGGGGGGCCACAGCCGGCGATGTACAGGGATTACTCCTGCCTCTGCACTCAGGAATTACCCCTGGCGGTGCTCAGGGGACCATATGGGATACTGGGAATTGAACCTGGGTTGGCCACATGCAAGACAAATGTCCTACCCACCATGCTACTGCTTCAGTCCCCAATGTCATGCTCTCGATTACTCAGTTTTTCGAGCCTGCAAACCAACCCTCATCAAGTGACATGATCCTACACAATCGGTGCCCTTCCAGTGACAGGTACTGTTAAGGTTTTGGAGGATGCCCTCTCTCCTTTTATTATTATTATTGTTGTTGTTATCGTGTGCTTCTTTGGGTCACACCTGGCGATGCTCAGGGCTGACTCCTGGCTCTGCACTCAGGAATTACTCCTGGCAGTGCTCGGGGGACCCTATGGAATGCCGAGGATCGAACCCAGGTTGGTCATGTGCAAGGAAAATGCCCTCCCCACTGTGCTATCCCTCCAGCCCTCCTCTCTCTCTTAAAAGGTCTATGGTGGGGCTGGAGTGATAGCACAGCCGGTAGGGTGTTTGCCTTGCATGCTCCTGACCCAGGTTCGATTCCCGGCATCCCATATGGTCTCCCGAGCACCGCCAGGAGTAATTCATGAGTGCATGAGTCAGGAGTAATCCCTGTGCATCACTGGGAGTAACCCCAAAAGCAAAAAAATAAAATCAAATAAAAAATAAAAGGTGTATGGTGCCCTCCGAAGGTAAACCCTGCAGACTTGCCAATTCTATCTCTCTCCGTTCCCTAAACACACCCAGGTACTTGGCAAGAGGCAGATGGCAGCAAATGTTCCTCAACAGATGTGTTTGCTAAGACCATTGCCCTCAGTAACTCTGGTGAAATGCACCCTGGTCCATGGAAGTAGGTCAAGCGTAATGTGAACATATATTAGAGACAGGAAAAACAGAGAGCTGGCAGCCACGATAGATGGGGGTTTTACAAGAAACCGAACAGGAAAATTGCTCAATTTCAAGGAAAGGAGGAAGCAGAAAAATACGACATTTGGATGGGGCTGGAGCCATAGCACAGCGTGGAGGGCGTTTGCCTTGCACGCAGTCAACCTGGGTTCGATCCCCAGCATCCCATAGGGTCCCCTGAGCACTGCCAGGAGTGATTCCTGAGTGCAGAGCCAGGAGTCACCCATGAGTATCGGGGTCTGAGCCAAAAAAAAGTCATTTTTTATGGTCAGTGCTATCCACTTCGGTTTTGTTTATTTTTTGGCCACACTCAGTGGCGCTCAGGGCTTGCTCCTGACTCTGTGCTCAGGGATCACTCCTGGCAGGCTCGGGGGACCATGTGGGATGCTGGGGATTGAAACCAGGTCAGTCCCATGCAAGGCAAGCGCCCTCCCCATTATCACACTAACCCCTATCCACGATAGTTTTGAGGGGATCATGCTTTTTCCCTATTTAGGGATGACTTGAATTCTAGCCCCTCCATCACGGGAGTTGGGAAGGGGGTCCCCTGGTCTCACTGTTCCTTAGAGTTTTCATCTATGAAATGGGGCAGCATTGCCTGTCCCGGGCCTCAAAGCAGGCATCTCCTGAGCACAGAGGGAGTGAGGTCGACCAGTTGCTCTTCCACGATTCTAAAGCATTGTCCAGGGGGAGAACAGCCCAACCTGCTGTGACTTGGGGAGCAAAATTTTATGATGCCTCCGTCTTCCAAGGATTTGTCTGTCCCCTCTTTCTTTTTTCAAGGGCAGGTGTGACGTTTGGGGCCACACCTGGCGATGCTCAGAGATTCCTCCTAATTATGCACTCAGGAATCACTCCTGCCAGTGTGTGGAGGACCCTCTGAGATGCCGGGGATTGAACTGGGGTCAACCGTGTGCAAGGCAAATGCCCTCCCCGCTGTACTATTGCTATGGCCCTGCCCATTCCATCTTTCTTCAATAACTGATTCCTTTCCCAAGACCCCAGGATCCTAGGGTCCCCAAATCCCTACTCTGCACAGGCAGGCAAAAATGACTGGGAAAGGTTTATGTTACGTTCTACATGGTGTGTGTGTGTGTGTGTGTGTGTGTGTGTGTGTGTGTGTGTGTGTGGTGTGTTGGTGGGGGGGGGCACCCTATGGTCAGTTTCGTTTTCTTCCTGGGAGGGATTAGCCTGTCCTTCACAGGGGCCTCTGCCCAGCTCACCCCCTCCCTCCTGAGCGTCTACACCCGGGGGGGCGGGGGGTGGAACGGCCCCTCTCACCCGCAGAACATGAGGATGTTGTACAGGGCGGGGTCGTCCTGGAAGGGCGCCGTCTGCTGGAGACAGAGTTGCTCGCAGCCACCGTTGAAGCCGTCGGAACAGTCCACCCCGATGTGACGGTCATAGCAGCCTGAGCTGTCCTTCATGGGGCTGAGTCCAGAGGGGCACTGACACAGAAGAAAGCAGATGTGTTGCAGGGGATTTGGGGGTCAGCCCTGGGGGTCCCCACAGACGTGTATGGGGAAGCCGTCACTTATCCTTGACGTAAACATTCCCGTGGGCTAGAATTCCTGCAAAGGTGGGGGATCTTGCAGGAACCCCAGATGCAGACCACGTGCGGGAGCAGTAAAACTGGCCCCCACGAATATGCCCATGATCAATACAATGCCTGTGATCAACAGGATGCCTGTGATCAATGTGGCGCTCGTGATCAATATGGTGCCCATGATCAATAGGGCACCTTGATTAATAGGGTGATCAATATGGCGCCCATGATAAATAGGGTGCCTGTAATCAACAAGGCACCTGTGATCAATAGGGGGATCGATATGGTGACCATGATCAATAGGGTGCCCATAATCAATAGGGTGCCTGTGATCAATAGGGCACCTTGATCAATAGGGTGATCAATATGGCGCCCATGATCAATAGGATGCCCATGATCAGTAGAATGCCCATGATCAATAGGGTACCCATGATCAATAGGGTGCCCGTGATCAACAGGTGCCCATGATCAGTAGAGTGCCTATGACCAATAGGGTGCCCATGATTATTAGTATGGCACCCATCCATGATTAATATGGCATTTGTGATCAATACAGTGCCTGTGATCAATAAGGCGCCCATGATCAATCGGGTGTCCATGATTAATGGGCGCCCATGACCAATAGGGTGCCCATGATCAATATGGCACCCACCCATGATTAATATGGCGTTTGTGATCAATACAGTGCCTGTGATCAATAGGGCGCCCATGGTCAATAGGGCGCCGATGATCAATAAAAGGGTGCCTATGATCAATATGGCACCCACGATCAGTCTGTTGCCCATTCATGCCGCCAGTGTAGCCAGGGACCCACAGCTCTGGGCTCTGTCATCAGGAGTCACACAGTTCCTAAACCAGAGAAATGGCCAAGACTGAGGATTAGGAGAGAGCCAAAGCGGGGTTGGAGATATATATATTATTTTGGCTTTTTGGGTCCCACCGGGCGATGCTCAGGGCTGACTCCTGGCTCTGCACTCAGGAATGACAGCTGGCGGTGCTCGGGGGACCCTATGGGATGCTGGCGATCGAACCTGGTTGGCCGCTTGCAAGGCAAATGTCCTCCCCGCTGTGCTATCACTCCAGCCCTGGGGCTGGAGCTTGGAGCCCACCCTACTCCCCTCTAAGCCCAGACCCGACTCCCCAAACTCAGCAGAGTCCCACGGAGCATGACCGCTCCTGCCAGGCCCCTGGAATTCTCTGCCTCTCCCCCTTTCTCTCTCTCCTGCCAAGAACCAGGTTTGCGCTGGAAAAACCCACCTCTCCTCCCTTCCGCCGACAGAGGCGCCCAGCAGGACGCGAACTGTTTAGCTGACACAAACTGCCATTTCTCAAACCAATGCCCACCCCCACCCCCCGCGAACGCCTTCCAGGCCCCCTTCTGACCCACTCTCCTCCTCCTCCTCCTCCTTGTGCAGTCAGCTGGAATTTTCTTTTATTATTATTATTATTTTTTTAAATTTTATTTTATTTATAGACTTATGATTTTTTTTTGCTTTTTGGATCACACCTGGCGATGCTCAGGGATTACTCTTGGCTTTGCACTCAGGAATCACTCCTGGCAGTGCTCAGGGGACCATATGGGATGCTGGGAATCGAACCTGGGCCAGCTGCGTGCAAGGCAAACGTGCTACCCACTGTGCTATCACTCCAGCCCCAGACTTACAAATTTTTGTGCTTGGGTTTCAGTTATACAATGATCAAATACCCATCCCTCCACCAGTGCCCATTTTCCACCATCATGAATCCCAGTATCCCTCCCACCCCCCATCCCCCCCATCCCACCCAGCTTCTGTGGCAGGGCATTCCCCTTTGTTCTCTCTCTCCTTTTGGGTGTTGTGGTCTGCAAAAGAGGCATTGAGTGGCCATCATGTTCGGTCCATAGTCTACTTTCAACATGCTTCTCCCATCCTGGGAGGATCCTCCCAGCACCCTTTACTTGGTGCTCCCTTCTCTATCTGAGCTGCCTTTTCCCCTAGCGTGTGTGGCTGGCCTCCAAGCCATGGAGTGAACCTCCTGGTACTTATCTCGGCTGTTCTTGGGTGTTAGTCTCCCATTTTGTTACTTTATATTCCCCCAGCTGAAACTTTCTAGAATCATTTCAAGATGTTTTGAGAGGCAGCGTGGTGCCCAGCCAACCCAGATGTTCCCATGGCTCTGAAAGCAAGCGACGCGAGCCCATTGAGGATTGCACTCACATTTTGGCGAGACCTCTCTGCATCCATCCACAGTCATGCTTGCCTCCCCCCACAGCTGTTTAGCCAGATGTGGCATCAGGAAGCTTCAGAACTGGGCAGCCGCCCAGCCTCGGTGGCGGGGACCAAAACCCAGAATTGATGGGAATAATCTGAGCTTACTGAGGTTTCTGAGAAAATCCTTCTCTCAGGGCTGGAGCAATAGCACAGCGGGGAAGGCGTTGGCCTGGCATGCGGCCGACCTGGGTTCGATTCCCAGCATCCCATAGGGTCCCCCAAGCACCGCCAGGAGTAATTCCTGAGTGCAGAGCCAAGAGGAACCCCTGTGCATCGCCAGGTGTGACCCAAAAAGCAAATAAATAAATAAATAAATAAATAAATGTAAACACACAAAATACAATGTCCTCCCGTTGTTCATCGATTTGCTCGAGCGGGCCCAGTAACGTCTCCATTGTGAGACTTCTTGTTACTGTGTTTGGCATATTGAATACTCTGGGTAGCTTGCCAGGATCTCCGAGAGGGGCGGAGGAATTGAACCCGGTTCGGCCAGGCTGGCTGCGCGCAAGGCATAGAGCAAAAAAAAAAAAAAAAGAAAGAAAAAAAAAGAAAATCCTTCTCTCCCTCTGCCTCTCTCACTTCTCTCGCTGTGAAAATAAAAAAAACACTCAGAGGAGCCAGATTCAGGCGTCCCACCTTTCGTGGTCTCTACCACAGTGCCAGTGCCCTCTCTCCATCACTAGTCACACCCCCTCAATGCCCAATCACCTACTGACTTGTTCTCTATCAAGCCTTTATTATTATTATTATTATTATTATTATTATTATTATTATTCACTATCATCCCGTTGTTCACTGATTTGCTCGAGTGGGCACCAGTAACATCTCCATTCGTCTCTGTCACGTGCTGGTGTAACCTGATGGCATATTGGGGGCTCTTTCAGGGGTCAGGGGAATGAGGACCATCATTGTTATTGTTTTTGGCATATTGAGTACACCACGGGGAGCTTGCCAGGTTCTGCCCTGCAGGCGGGATACTCTCGGTAGCTCGCCGGACTCTCCGAGAGGGATGGAGGCTTTTGGGGCAGCCTCTAATCACCTTTACAGGTGTTCCCAGTCAGGCATATATGCGGGCAAGATACTCTCGGTAGCCTGAGTAACCCTGAGTATTGGGTTCTCTGAGAGTGAGAATAGGGCACCCCGGGTTCAATTCCTCCGCCCCTCTTGGAGACCCCGGCAAGCTACCGAGAGTATCCCGCCCGCACGGCAGAGCCTGGCAAGCTCCCTGTGGCGTCTTTGCGATGCCAAACACAGTCTCAACAAGTCTCACCATGGAGACGTGACTGGTGCCCGCTCGAGCAAATCGACGAACAACGGGAGGACAGTGCTACAGGGCTACAGGGCAGAGGAACAAGTCCGTGAGTTGAAGCATCTGTTTAGGCTGCCCACAGCTCTCGCTCTCCCTTCTTCCCCGAGATTGAAGTCACGTGGTCTTCCGACCCCTAAAACACACACGGTTAATCATCTTTACGGAAGTTCACTTCTGGGTTCACTTCTGATCGGCCTGGGGCCTCCTCGGCTAAGGAGATTAAACACTTTTTCTCCTTTGGTTCTTGGGTCACAATGCCTTGCCCTTCTTCCCCCCCCACCTATGTCTGAGGTTATGGCAGAGCCTGGCATGTTCCCCGTGGCGTATTCGATTTGCCAAAAACAGAAACAATAACGGGTCTCATTCCCCTGACCCTGAGAGAGCCTCCAATATGGCAGCGTTGGGAAAGATGAGTAAGGAGCGGCTGTGAAAATCTCAGGGCTGGGACGAATGAAAACATTACAGGCACCCGCTCAAGTCAATTGATGATCAATGAGATGACAGTGATACGGTGATACAGTGAAGTCTGAGGTTAATGGATGGTCGAGATGTTTCAGCCAAACTGTCCCCAAGTAGACTTGGACACACTACGGGGCTGCCGTGTGGAAACGCTCTATGGACAGAGAAGAGGATTTGGGGGTGGTAGCCGGGATCAGACCCAGATCTTGAGCGCTAGAGAAGCAACAGCAGTGCCATGACAGGCTCATAAAGAAGCCAGAAGAAGCTAGGCCTAGGTTTCGGTTTCAGAATTCCTGGAATTGTGAATAGATTCCTGGAATTGAGTCATGATTTCCCCGAAATGAGATAACCATGGCGAGGGCCACTCAAGGTTACCAATCAGATGCAGGTAGGGAAGCCCCCCTAGATAACTTTTATCTTACAAGCGGTCAACATGGCCGACCCAAGTTCGATTCCTCCGCCCCTCTCGGAGAGCCCGGCAAGCTACCGAGAGTATTCGATATGCCAGACACAGTAACAACAAAGTCTCCAATGGAGACGTTACTGGGCCCGCTCGAGCAAATCGACGATCAACGGGAGGGCCTTTACCTTTTTACCTATGCAACCCTGATGTAACTCCAACTTATAACCAATTAGCTAAGTGCATGTCATGGAAAGTCCCTCAGACTGCAGCCAAAAGGGTGGTCCGCCGAAAGTCCCTGTTATATAATGTTATGATATGGGGCTGGAGCAATAGCACAGCGGGGAGGGCGTTTGCCTTGCACACAGCCTACCTCGGTTTGATTCCCAGCATCCCATATGGTCCCCTGAGCATCACTAGTGGTAATTCCTGAGTGCAGAGCCAGGAGTAACCCCTATGCATCGCTGGGTGTAACCCCCCCACGAAAAACCCAAAAATGGTGATCATTTTGGGCTGAAGTGATAGCACAGCAGGTAAAGCATTTGCCTTGCACACAGTTGACCCGGGCTCGAGTCCTCTGTCCCTCTTGGAGATCCTGGCAAGCTCCCCATGGCATATTCCATATGCAAAAAAAAAAAAACAAAAACAGTAACAAGTCTCACAATGGAGACATTACTGGTGCCCGCTCGAGCAAATCGATGAACAATGAAAGGACAGTGCTACAGTGCTACAATGCACCTTTATGGTATAAAAGCCCCTCACTTCTGAGACTCGGGGCCGCTCATTCCAAGAAGGCTGCCGCTTTGTCGGTGAGCCAGACAAGGGCCCTCACTCGAGCTAGCCAATAAAGACCCTCTGCTTATTGCATTGCAACTTGTCTTCATGTGATTCCTCTGGGGAGATCTCAGCCCAGTTTAACAATCTCATTCAGAAGCACTCCCAGCCCCACCCTGAGCTCCACCCACTGGGCTTCAATTCTCTCTTCCCACCAAGACATCCCTTTCCTGCAGACCCCCCAAAGTCCAGCGTTTTCCTGAATGCCTCATCTCAGCCTCCCCATCCGCTTGGCCACATCTTCTTTCTTGGGGCTACTGGGATGTTCAGCCACAGGGAACTGAAGGTTGGAGCCTCTCCAGAGAAGAGGGGTCACGCGCTGTCACACAGAGGCTTGGGGAACAGCAAAGACCCCCACCCCAGAGCACCGAGCCAGCCCCCCTAGTAGACTAAGATCCTGCCCGTGGGGGTATCAGCGGCTCTGCAGCCCAGAACCTGAATTTACGGACAAGCTTCCAGGCCTGAGGCTCCTTCCTGCCACCCCCAAACAACGTGGCCTCATGACCTCAAATTCTCCAGTTGTTCCCCAGCTCTGCTACCCTGGGGTGCACTTTTGCTGGGGCACCCATACTGAGAAGCTAGCACATATCCCTGGGGACTATTCCCGCGGGGTCTCTCACACAGCACCAGAGTCCAAAGTACAGAAGAAAGGGGCTGGAGCACAGCAGGTAGGGGGTTTGCCTTGCATGCGGCCATCCCGGGTTCGATTCCCAGCATCCCCTGTGGTCTCCTTGAGCACCGCCAGGAGTTATTCCTGAGTGCAGAGTCAGGAGGAACCCCTGTGCATCGCCAGGTGTGACCCTAAAAAAAGCAAAACCAAAACCCAAAAACAAAGTACAGAAGAGAGCACTATGCCAAGGAGGCTTGGCTTGCATCCTTCACCCCCTCACCCCCAAAATCAGGGGGCTAAGGGCAAGCCCGCCATGGGGTGGGCAGGGAGAGGGGGAGTGTGAGCATTGAGTTCCCCGGGTGCCCAGAGAGGCTGCTGGGTTCGGTCACACCGTCGATGCCCAATACAGTGCAGATGGTCCGGGGAGTGGGGAGGGGAGATTCACTCTCGGGGGACCCTGCTGGGAAGCTGATTGCCTCTGACACCTGATGAACCTCGCCCACCTTCCACTGCCCCTGGAAGTGACATTTCCGGCATCTCCCTGACAATGTGTAGCTTTGTCCCCCTTTCTTCGGGGGCCAGTCAACGCCTCCGTTCCCCCTTCTTCATTTCCTTTTCTACCTCCAATATTTCAGCCTCCTTTGCCACTGCTGGGGAGTTCCAGTGCCCTACTGGGCGGACAGGGTCGCCCTTGGTCATGGCGGGAGGAACAGGACTGTGTGTCCCTCCCAGACTCCTCTAGCCCGCACCCAGGCACAGAAGGAAGAAGACAGGCTGCCTTGATAAGGATGCCCCCCACCTGCCCTCCACGTGCAGGGGTGAACTGCAAAGCCCAACGTGGAAGACACGGCTGTGGGGCTCCGTCTCCCCAGCGGGCCACCCTCTCCCTTAATCCACAGGGGTTCGGGGACTGGAGCGATAGCACAGCGGGGAGGGCGTTTGCCTTGCACGCGGCTGACCCAGATTTGATTCCCAGCATCCCGTAGGGTCCCCCAAACACCGACAGGAGTGATTCCTGAGTGCAGAGCCAGGAGGAACCGCTGTGCATCTCCGGGTGTGGCCCCCACAAAAAAACCCACAGGGGTTTAAGCAGCTGAGAAGCCGAGACAAAACCACATAGGGCAGTGGCAGGGCTCAGTGCTGTCCCGAATGGGACAGCTCTGTCCCTTTGCCGCCTCTAGAGCAATTTATTTCTTTGGACACTCCTGGGCGTGGGTGTCTAAAAAACTTCCGAGTGGGTCCATGTCAGAGTGTGTGCGTGCACGTGTGTGTGAGTGCGTGTGTGTATGTGTGTCTGCATGTTTGTTCATATGTGTGTGCATGCTTGCATGTGCGTGCATGCGTGTGTCTGCGTGCGTGGGCGTGTGTGTCTGCGTGTGCGTCTGTGTCTGCATGTGCGTGTGTGCATGTGTGTGTGCATGCGTGCGTGTGCATACGTCTCCCCGTCTCCCCCAAGCCCCGACCTCCCCGTCTCCCCCCAACCCCGACTCCCCCGTCTCTCCTCATCCCTGATGCCCCCCGTGTCCCCCCGGCCCTGACGCCCGTGTCCCCACAGGGAGGAGCTGATGGCCTTGTCGTCGGGGCGTCGGGGTTGGGGGAAATGGGGGCGTCGGGGTTGGGGGAAATGGGGGCGTTGGGGTTAGGGAGAGACGGGGGCGTCGGGGTTGGGGGAAATGGGGGCGTTGGGGTTGGGGGGAGACGGGAGATGTGTGCATACGTGTGTGCGTGCACGTGTGTGTGCGTGCATGTGTCTGCGTTGCGTGCATGCGTGAAGGTGTGTGCGTGTCTGCATGTGTGTGCAAGTGTGCGTGCATGCGTGTGTCTGCGTGCGTGGGCGTGTGTGTCCGCGTGTGCGTACGTGTCTGCATGTGCGTGTGTGCATGTGTGTGTGCATGCGTGCATACGTGTGTGCGTGTGTGTGCGTGCATGTGTGTGAGTGTGTGCGTGTGTATGTGCGTGCATGTGTCTGCGTTGCATGCGTGCATGCAGGTGTGTGCGTGTGTCTGCATGCGTGAGTGTGCATGCGTGTGTGCGCGTGTGAGTGCGCACATGCGTGTGTGTGATTTCCTCCCGACCATTCTGGAGCGAGCCGAACCAAATCTGTTCCCTGAGCACCTAGACAGTAGCCAGGCCCACAAGGACGGTTACGACTGGACCCAGACCGGGACCCAGAACCCCTGGGGACCAGTGCATGCCTGAGGTCAGCCTGGGGTCCACACGGAGTCGCCCCAAGCTCTCCTAGCCTCGGAGCGCTGCTGTCTCCCCCGGGGGTGTGCCCCTGCCCTCTGGCTCTGTGCTGCACCCACCCGAGGCGGGACGGACCGACAGACACAGCCGGCCGGACAGACGGACGTACCACGCAGCCCGTGGAGTCGAGCTTGCGGTCGGAGATGCAGCGGAAGTTCTTCCTGCAGCCCCCGTTCTCCTTGCTGCAGTCGCGCACGGGCCCAAAGGAGTCGAGCAGCACCTCCAGGCTGTCGAAGGACGACGAGGCCATCAGCTCCTCCCTGTGGGGACACGGGCATCAGGGCCGGGGGGACACGGGGGGCATCAGGGATGAGGAGAGACGGGGGCGTCGGGGTTGGGGGGAGACGGGGAGGTCGGGGCTTGGGGGAGACGGGGGCGTCTGGGTTGGGGGGAGACAGGGGCGTCATGGTTGGGAGAGACGGGGCCATCGGGGCGGGGGAAGATGGGGGCGTCGGGGTTAGGGAGAGACGGGGGCGTCGGGGTTGGGGGAAATGGGGGCGTTGGGGTTGGGGGGAGACGGGGCATCGGGGTTAGGGGAGACGGGGGTGTCTGGTGTGGGGGAGACAGGGGCATCAGGGCTTAGGGTGAGATGGGGGCGTCGGAATTGGGGGGAGACGGGGGCGTCGGGGGCGGGGGAGCTGGGGGCGTCGGGGCTGGGTGGAGAGCTGAGGGGCGTCAGGGCTCAGGGGACACTCAGGAGCTCCCCAGGGCCACAGGCCAGGCTAGCTCTGTTGCCTGTCCCTCTTACCCATCCAACACCCTTCCACTGTGCCTTCACTCAGGCCCCATCCCTCTCCTAAGGGGGAAAGTCCAAGACTCTGCAGCCTTGCACTAAGCAATAAGGAACATTCTAGTCGGGAGGGGGCCACAATGAGGAGGCTGGAGTGACAGCACCTCTGGGTGGGCGCTGGCCTTGCACATGGCTGGCCCAGGATGGATGCCCTGAGCTCTGCCAGGAGCAATACCCGAGTGCAGAGCCAGGAGCCAGCGCTGAGCGAAATCCGGTGTACCCCCACCCCCAACAAAGAGAAGGTGCACCCTGAGCCCCCCAACGAAGAGAAAGGGTCTCAGCTTGGGCTCAAATGGACATTGGAGGGGTCCATGAGATGGCACAGCGGGGAGGGCGTTTGTCTTGCTCACAGCTGATCACGACATCCTATTGGGTCTCCTGAGCCTGCCCAGAGTGATTCAGGAGTAGACTCTGCTCATCACTGGGTGTGGAACACCCCCCCCCCCCGGAAGAACTCAGGAATAGGGGCTGGAGCGATAGCACAACGGGGATGGCGTTTGCCTTGCATATGGCCGACCCAGATTCGATCCCCGGCATCCCATAAGGTCCCCCAAGCACCACCAGGTGTGATTCCTGAGTGCCTGAGCCAGGAGGAACCCCTGAGCATCTCCGGGTGTGACCCCCCAAAAGAAGCAAAATATAAAAAAAAGAACTCAGGAATATCCTCTCCTGGGCATGAGTGTTGGGGGGCTCCATGCCGACCTGGAGTGAGAAAGGTGGGGGCCCCTGCCAATGGCAGCACGAAGGTGGCCCCAGCACCCTGGGCCTTTGGGAAGTTTGTCCCTCCATGTAGTTCGTCCGCTGGGCACCGGGGTCACTCACCGGACCTCCACCGAGTCCTCCATCACGGTCATGTCCGTCTTGCACTTGGCCGAGGGGTTGATGGCCAGTTCCGCGGGGGGGATCACGAAGCTCTTGCTGAGGGGCAGCCACATGCCCTCGCCCAGCGTGTAAGTGAACCTGTGAGGACACCCCTCCATCAGTAGGCGGATAAGCCCAGCGTCCCCACCTGGACACCAGCGGCATGCCCCAGGCTGCCTCTGCAGAGAGAGGCGCTCTGTGGACACTCCATGGATGCATCCTTGGGGATCCCGGGAAGGAGGACTTGAGTTCATGTGGCCCAGCTGGAGGGGGGTTATGGTAGTACCCCATTCACGTGGGCTGGGTCACACCTGAAGAAAACCAGCTCCCCTAAATGCACAGTGGAAGTGGGGTGGATAATGCCCCAAAGGAGAGTGGAATGGAGGGGGGTGGGAGGGAGGGAGGAAGGAAGGAAGGGAAGAAGGAAGTGAAAAAGGAATGAAGGAAGGGAGGGAAGGAGGGAGGGAGGAATGAAGGAAAGAAATAAGGGAGGGAGGGAGGAATAAAGGAAGGAAAGAAGGAAAGGAGGGAGGAAGGAAGGGGGAAGGAAGGAGGAAGGGAGAGGAAGGTAGGGAGAAAGGAAGGAAGGAAGGGAGTGAGGAAAGAAGGGAGAGAGGAAGGAAGGGAGGAAGGGAGGAAGGGAGGGAGGGAGGGAGGAAGGAAAGGAGGAAGGAAGGAATAAAGGAAAGAAGGAAGGGAAGGAAGGAGGAAGGGAGGGAGGAAGGAAGGAAAGAAAGAAGGGAGGGAGGAAGGAATAAAGGAAGGAAAGAAGGAAAGGAGGGAGGGAGGAAGGCAGGGAGGGGGAGGAAGGAATAAAGGAAAGAAGGAAGGGAAGGAAGGAGGAAGGGATGAAGGAAGGGAGGAAGGAAGGGAGGGAGGGAGGAAGGAAGGAAGGGAAAAAGGGAGGGAGGGAGGAAAGAAGGAAAGAAAGAAGGGAGAGAGGAAGGAAGGGAGGGAGGGAGGTGGGGAGGAAGGGAAGGAGGAAGGAAGGAATAAAGGAAAGAAGGAAGGGAAGGAAGGAAAGAAAGAAATAAAGAAGGGAGGGAGGGAGGAAGGAATAAAGGAAGGAAAGAAGGAAAGGAGGGATGGAGGAAGGCAGGGAGGGAGGGAGGAAGGAATAAAGGAAAGAAGGAAGGGAAGGAAGGAAGAAGGGATGAAGGAAGGGAGGAAGGAAGTGAGGGAGGAAGGAAGGAAGGAAAAAAGGGAGGGAGGGAGGAAAAAAGGAAAGAAAGAAGGGAGAGAAGAAGGAAGGGAGGGAGGAAGAGAGGGAGGAAGGAAGGGAGGGAGGGAGGAGGGAAGGAATAAAGGAAAGAAGGAAGGGAAGGAGGAAAGAAATAAAGAAGGGAAGGAGGGAGGGAGGAATAAAGGAAGGAAAGAAGGAAAGGAGGGAGGAAGGAAGGAAGGGAGGGAGAGATGGAGGAAGGAATAAAGGAAAGGAAGGAAGGGAGGGAGGGAGGGAGGAAGGAAGGAAAGAAGGAAGGAAGGAGGAGGGAAGGGAGGAGGGAAGGAAGGAAGGAGAAGGAAGGAAGGAAGGAGGAGGGAAGGGAGGAGGGAAGGAAGGAAGGAGAAAGAAGGAAGGAAGGAAGGAAGGAAGGAGGAGGGAAGGGAGGAGGGAAGGAAGGAAGGAGAAGGAAGGAAGGAAGGAAGGAAGGAAGGAAGGAAGGAAGGAAGGAAGGAAGGAGAAAAGTGTCTGCTACGGAGGCAGGCTGGAGGGTTTTGATGGGAAGGAAGCTGGGGTCCTGAGATGGGAAACGTGCTCTGGTGAAGTTGGGCGTTGGAACAATGTATGACTGAAACCCAATCATGAACAACCTTGTAACTGTATCTCACGGTGATTCAGTTGAAAAGGAGCTGGGTGCCTGCGTTTTCAGCCAAATTGCAGTAGAAGAATTGCAATAGTCTCTGTTCCCCATCCCAGGGCCGGACATTCCCCCTAGAGCCATGAAGGACCCCCCCCCCCCAAGGGCAACAAAGGAGATTTTAAAAAGCCCCTTTTCCAGGGATGGGAAGAGAAGGGATGGAGGGATGGAGCTTCCAATCTCAGGAGCAGAGAAGAGATGAAACACCAGACCCGGGAGGTTTCTGGGACCCCCACCCCACCACCGTGGACTGGTCTGGTGCCCACATGGGGAAGTACATGCTGGTTTTTTTGGGGGGGGGGTGTTTTTTTTTTTTGTCGATTCCAGCAACAAGGAATAAAAGCTCCATCAGCACTTCCAGGCAGAGCTGAGAGGAGCAGGAGAGCCCGCGTGTCCGTTTGCGGGTTCATTCATTTGATTACAAAAGCGTTTGGAGGCGCTCTGATAGGAGCCCAGAATAGTCTGGGGATAAAAGCCGGCGTGGTGTGGGCGGGGTGTCACGAGGCTGTGGCACTCTGGGTCCCTCCCCCAGCGTGAGAGACCCACACCTGCCCCCTCGACGTCCCCCTCCCCCCCCCCCCCCCGCATCCTACACAAACCCAGTGCCAGGAGGCCACACTTCTGAAGACACAAGATCTCTTTCTCTCTCTCTTGTACTTTCGGCGTTTGAGTATGCTCTGGGGTTCCTCTTGGCTCTGCACCCAGGAATGACTCCTGGCGGTGCTTGGGGGACCCTATGGGATGCTGGGAATCGAACCTGGGTTGGCCTCATGTACAGCAAATGCCAAACCCACTGTGCTATCACTCCAACCCCACCCCACTGCCATTTCTTCCATTTTTTTAAAATTTATTTTTGCTTTTTGGGTCACACCCAGCGATGCACAGAGGTTACTCCTGGCTCTGTGCTCAGGAATCACTCCTGGCGGTGCTTGGGGAACCCTATGGGATGCTGGGAATCAAACCCGGGTCGGCCGCGTACCAGGTAAACGCCCTCCCCGCTGGGCTATCACTCCGGCCTAATGTGAGATCTTTCAGGAGCAACGCGGCCCCTTCCAGAATGCCAGCTCCTGGGGGTCCCAGCAGCTATCCCTAATCCACCCACACTCCCAAAGACACCCCTGAATCGACATCATCAGAAAAATGAGGTACCAGGTCCTGGCGGGTGTCCGGGGAGGGACACGCTACCAAGCCAGTGGCTGTGACCAGCACGAGGAGATTTCCCCATCACCCCCCAAACTTAGGCTGATCCCCAACTTCTCTGGCTCTCGGGGCAAGCCCTCGCGTGAAGCAGAGTGAACAGGCAGGTCACCCCCCTGTGAAAACACCGTATCTGCGGGCAATCTTTGGGGAAAACGGCCCAAGGTGGAGAGGAAGGGACGGATGAGTTGTGGCTTATCTGGAAAATCATCTCCGAGCACCCACCTGGCTGAGCTCCAGGAGGACCCCCCAGGGGTGGAAAAGGGGGTACACAGAGTTTGCCAGGAGGGTATGGGTAGAGCTGACCCTGTCCCAGGCCAGGTCCCAAGGGCAATGACCCAACCAACCAGCTCTGCCTCAACTTCCGCTTTTGTCCTGAAAGCAAGAATTCTTTGGAGGTGGGGGTGGGGGGCTGGAGCGATAGCACAGCGGGGAGGGTATTGGCCTTGCATGGGGCCAACCCGGGTTCGATTCCCAGCATCCCATAGGGTCCCCTGAGCCTGCCAGGAGTGATTCCTGAGTGCAGAGCCAGGAGGAACCCCTGTGCATCGCCGGGTGGGACCCAAAAAGCAAGGGAAAAAACCACACTCGCTGTCCAACTTCCTTGGAAATGGTCCTACCACGAGGGGTGAGCTTGGGGACGCCCTGGGTAACCGTCTCCTGGACGATCCTTTATCCCCACATCAGCTGTGGGGTGCAAAGGTCAGGAAGGCAGGTGGGGGCCTCAGAGGCAGCTCAGCGTCACCCTGTCAGGGACCCGGTGCCAGGGGGCCACCCAGAGAGAAAAGACATCAATGTTCGGGGCTGGAGCCATAGCACATTGGGCAGGACATTTGCCTTGCACCAGCCAACCCGGGTTCGATTCCCAGCATCCTATAGGGTCCCCTGAGCACCGCCAGGAGTGATTCCTGAGTGCAGAGCCAGGAGGAGCCCCTGAGCATCATCCGGTGTGTCCCAAGAAGCAAAAACAAACAGACAAAACACACACACACACACACACACACACACACACACACACACACAAGAATTCCTGTAGGGGTCTTTTCTCCTGAGTGTGTCCCTGCTCAAACATGGAAATTCTATCTGAAGCGTCACACAAAGGGGTCCAAATGATCGTACGAAGGGGATGGGGGGCGGGAGAGAGGGGAGTGTTTGCTTTGTACACAGCTGACCCAGGATAAATCCCCGGCATCCCATAGGGTCCCCCCCAAGCACTGCCAGGAGTGATTCCTGAGTCTAAAGTCAGGAACAAGCCCTGGGCATCGCTGGGTGTGAATCCCCCCCCCCCTCCACAAAAAAATGTGATGCCAAGGTTGTAGATGTGGAGGATGAATCCTGCAGGGGCTTGAACCCATGGTCACAAGACAGGTGACCAGAGGACAGGACCTGGGGCCACATCATACACCACATCATACTTCTGTGTAAGATTCTGTCCAAATCAGAGGCACTCAGCCCCCGACATGTGTGTTCACACATGCGCATACATGACCACACGTGCATGTCCTCAGAGCTTACTCTTGGCTCTGCGCTCAGGGAGCACTCCTGGCAGTGCTCAGGGGCCATATCTGGTGCTGGGCATCGACCCGGGTCTGCTGTGTGCGAGGCAAGTGCCCTCTCTCCTCTTGCGTCCCCCAGGCTGGTGAGGAACTTTCTAGCTCTGAGGTATAATCTCATCAACGGCCAAGATCCAGAGACTATAAACCAAAGCTCCCGGAAGAGAGCGATGCAGAATATCACACCGTAGAGCCTGGCGAGCTCCCCGTGGTGTATTCAAGATGCCAAAAACGGTCACAATAACAGGACTCATTCCCCTGACCCTGAACGCGACAGGGTCAAATGAGACATTACTGGCGCCCGCTCAAGCAAATTGATGAGCAACGGGACGACAGTGATACAGTGATACAGTGCTGCTCTCTTCCAAGATAGTGAGAATGAGGACCTTGGCCTCTGGATAGGGTCAAGGTGAAACCCCAAGGTCAAGTTGTCAGTGGGCCAGCCTGGATGGAAGAGAAATCTCCAGGGACCATCCCCAGAGGCTGGTCATGGAGCCCCAAACTGCCGTTTCGCCAATTTTCCAAGCAAGGATGCAAGGGTAGTCGCCGGTCCTTAAGGTTCTGTGTCCCTAAGCACCAGAGGGAAGAAGGAGCTGATTTCCTGGGGGGTTCAAAGTGGCAGATCTGCCAAGATGCCTACTCGTGACATTCTCAAGCTCGCTCTTTCTTTCTTTCTTTCTTTCTTTCTTTCTTTCTTTCTTTCTTTCTTTCTCTCTCTTTCTTTCTCTCTTTCTTTCTTTCTTTCTTTCTTTCTTTCTTTCTTTCTTTCTCTCTCTCTCTTTCTTTCTTTCTTTCCTTTCTTTCTCTCTCTTTCTTTCTCTCTCTTTCTTTCTTTCTTTCCTTTCTTTCTCTCTCTCTCTTTCTCTCTCTCTTTCTTTCTTTCTCTCTCTCTTCTTTCTTTCTTTCTTTCTTTCTTGCTTGCTTGCTTGCTTGCTTGCTTGCTTGCTTTTTGGGTCACACCCAGCGATGCACAGGGGTTCCTTCTGGCTCATGAACTCAGAAACCACTCCTGGCGGTGCTCAGGGGACCCTATGGGATGCCAGGGATCGAACCCGAGTCGGCCGCATGCAAGGCCAACACCCTCCCTGCTGTGCTATCACTCCAGCCCAATTGACGTTTCTTACAGCCCAAGTTCCCCATCAAAGAGTCTCAGACCATGCTCTGCACAAGATGTGACCAGCCCTCACACTGACACTTGGGAGAGAATCAGGCAGGGGCGGGAGCAGGAAGTTGGTGGGTCTAGAAATCTTCACTGCACTTCCGGTTAAGAGCTTAACGTTAGGCGGGAAGATCTATGACTCATATTCGTACAGATCACCAGAGAAAATGAACCATCTCCCCGCTTCTCTCCTTCTTCCAACAGTGCCATTCGGTGACGGGTTCCTCTTCTGCCACTGGAGTCTTCTCCTGCCAGGGCCACTGACTTCCTCTAGCACAGCAAGACAACTCCGGTCCCTGCGCTCGCGTCAAGTTCCATCTCTAACTCTTGCCAGGGACCCCAACCGACACTCGAGTCAGACCCTACAGAGCCAGGATGTTTTTTTCTAATTTTTAAAATTTTTTTTGACTTTCTGGGTCACACCCGGTGATGCACAGGGGTTACTCTTGGTTCTGCACTCAGGAGTTACCCCTGGCAGTGCTCAGGGGATCATATGGGATGCTGGGAATCGAACCCGGGTCGGTCGCGTGCAAGGCAAACGCCCTCCCCGCTGTGCTATCGTTCCAGCCCCAAGCCAGGTTGATCTTGATCTGCAAAGATACAATCCCAATCAAGTGCTCGCGTGGCTTAGGCCTGATGAAAATCCAATCAATCAACTCCAGGCTCTGCACTCAGTAATCGCTCCTGGCGGTGCTCGGGGGACCCTATGGGATGTCGGGGATCGAACCCGGGTCGGCTGCGTGCAAGGCAAACACCCTCCCCACTGTCCTGTCTCCACACTTCCCACCACCTCCAATTCTTCCTCTGCTTATTAACTTATCTCATCTCTGCTATTCCCGACGCCCGTCGGGAGAAATTTGGGAGTTAGGAAAACATGCAATTTGATCAGGAGGGTGGTAGATATAAAAAAAATAATAATGAAGTGGAGTTGAACAGAGCGGGAGGCGGGGGCGGGCGAAATTCGTCTTGAACAACTTAAACTTCCACTTGGAAGGTGCAAATTAGATGCAAAACTGAAGAGGCAGAACCTGACATTAATTGCCTGCTTGGTGCCCAACACCGTGCCAGGGGCTGCCCCTGTGTGAGCTCATGTATTGCCCACGATCGTGGTGCCAGGCAGGTAAACAGAGTCAGGTTAACAAAGGCAGAAGAAGCCGGGCTGGAGTGATAGCACAGGGGGGGAGGGTGTTTGCCTTGCACGCGGCCGGCCCGGGTTTGATTCCTCCATCCCTCTCGGAGAGCCTGGCAAGCTCCCGAGAATATCCCGCCCACACGGCAGAGCCTGGCAAGCTCCCCGTGGCGTCTTCGAGATGCCAAAAACAGTCACAACACGTCTCACGATGGAGACGTTACTGGTGCCCGCTCGAGCAAATCTGCTCCAGAAGAAGCAGGAGGCTCTGAGGAAGGAGGAAAAACTGGGGTGCATACAAATGTCAAGGAGGGCCGGTCAAGACCCCCCGCTTAGCTAGGACCACAACTGATCCAGGGTGGGAGGGATTTGGTTAGGAGGGAACAAAAAAGACCCTCAACTGTGAGCACAGAAAGACAAGTACCAGGCGGAAGCTTACCCACATACCTAAGCAAGTTCCGAGACAAGCACTTACCTGAATATTTTATCGGAAGGTTGTTCTCCCAATACCAGGTCAAACCCGCGCTGAAATATCGTGTAGGGCCAAGGCCTATAGGGAAAAATACGGTATTGAATTAAAGGCAGCCCCGCCAGGCGTGGAGAATAGACGCACCTCGATTCTCAAGGACACCACTAGGGGGAGCTATGAGATCTAGCTTGCCTGCCGGAGACCAACCAGAAATGGGGTCAAGTTGGAAAGGAGAGGAGCTGAGTGTTGAAAGGAGGGAGATATCCCTGACAGCCTTTCAGGGTCGGTTATTGCAAACCATAATGCCCAAAAGGAGGATGGAGGAAGAGGAGGGGAGAGAGAGGGATGGAGGGAGGGAGGAAGGAGAGGGAGAGAGAGAGAGGGAGGGAAAGAGAAGGCAAAGAGAGAGAGAGGAGGGAGACAGGGAGGGAGAGAGAGGGAAAGAGAGAGGGAGGGAGGAAGAGAGAAAGGGAGCGAGGGAGGGAGAGGAGAATGAGAGTGAGGGAGGAAGAGAGGGAGGGAGGCAGGGAGGAAGAGAGGGAGTGAGAAAGGGAGAGAGAGGGAGAGAGGGAGGGAGGGAAGAGAGAGAATGAAAGAGAGAGGGAGGGAGAGAGAAAGGAAGAGAGAGTGAGAGAGAGAGGGAGGGACAGAGAGGGCAAAGAGAGAGGAGGGAGACAGGGGCGGAGAGAGAGGGAGAGAGGGAGGGAGAGAGAAAGGAGCGAGGGAGGGAGAGAAGGAGAATGAGAGTGAGGGAGGAAGAGAGGGAGGGAGAAAGAGAGGGAGAGAGAAAGGAAGAGAGAGGAAGAGAGGGAAATAGAGAGGAAGAGAGGGAGGGAGGGAAGAGAGAAAGGAAGAGAGAATGAAAGAGAGAGGGAGGGAGAGAGAGGGAGGGAAGAAGGAAGGGAGGAAGAGGAGAGAAGAAAGAGATGGAAAGAGGTAGGGAGAGAGGAGAGAGAGGACAGAAAGGGATGGAGAGAGGAAGACAGAGAAAGTGAGAGGGAGGAAAAATAAAAGAGCCTGTCATAGAGGCAGGCTTGGGGGAGGGGAGAGTTTCGGGGTGATGGGAGGGAACCTGGGGACACTGGTGCAGAGAAATGTGCCCTGGTGGAGGGATGGGTGTTGGAACACCGTAGGACTAAAATCTAATCATGAACAGCTTTGGAAGGGTCTATCTCACAGCGATGCAATTTAAAAATTAAATAAATGCTCAATAAAATGGAAAGGGTCATGAACCCCAGTGGCATAGCAGAGGAAATGTCTAGGGGTCTCTGGATGTGGGTCACTATTCCTGGGTCTTCGGGTCGCGATTTAACAAAAACTTGGCTCTGTCCCTTAGGAAAGAGGAAAAACTGATCTCTAAGGGAAGACAGAGCCTCTAGAACCAGAACGTGTCAGTCCAGAACCATCTGCAAGTGAACAGATTGATTTGGGGCGTGTGGGCTGTCTGGTGGCGCCCACTTTTTCTCACGTATAAAAAAACCAAACTCAGAGTCTGGACAGATAGGACAGGCAATGCCCAGTTTCATCCCTGAAACCACTTATGGTCCCCCTGAGCACTGCCAGGAATGATCCCTGAGTGCAGAGCCCAGAACCGGAAGTCAGCCCTGAGCACCGCCGGATGTGGCCCCAAGATCGTCCCTTCAACTCAGCTAATAGTTGGGTGCATAGACCACAAGACCCAGCAAGGTGAGGTCTCAGGTGGGCCCTCCCCTTGGCCCTTTCTCCAGACTTGAAAGCGATGGCAAGAGTATGGACCCTTGGCGGGTGCCAGGCCTTTGCCGACTGTCATTGACAGTTTTCACTCATTTCTACAGAGAGAAAAGAGGCAAACTAGAAATTGAGCCGCCATATGACCCTGCAATACTACTTCTGGGAATATATCCCGAGGGTGCAAAAAAGCACAGTAGCAATAGCATCTGCACCTGTATGTTCACTGCAGCACTGTTCACAATAGCCAGAATCTGGAAACAACCCAAGTGCCCGAGAACAGATGACTGGTTAAAGAAACTTTGGTATATCTACACAATGGAATACTATGCAGCTGTTAGGAAAGATGAAGTTATGAAATTCGCTTCTAAGTGGATGGTCATGGAGAGTTTTGTGCTAAGTGAAATGAGTCAGAAAGAGAAGGACAGACATAGAATGACTGCATTCATTTGTGGGAATATGAAATAACATAATATGAGACTGACACCCAAGGACAGTAGATACAAGGGCCAGGAATATTGCTCCACAGTTGGAAGCCTGTCTCATGAGCTGGGGGAGAAGGCAGCTGGGATAGAGAAGGGATCACTGAGTCAATGATGGTTGGAGGAATCGCTCAGGATGGGAGATGTATGCTGAAAGTAGATAAAGGACCAAACGTGATAACCTCTTAGTATCTGTACTACAAACCATAATACTCAAAAGTAGAGAGAGAATATGGGGGAAATTGTCTGCCATAGAGGCAGGGGGAGGGTTGGAAAGTGGGGGGTTAATACTGGGGCCATTGGTGGTGGAGAATGTGCACTGGTGGAGGGGTGGGTATTTGATCATTATATGACTGAAACTCAAACATTTTGTAACTGCATCTCACGGTGATTCAATAAAAATATTTTTAAAATAAAATAAAAAAAGAAAGAAGAGAAGTGACACTTGAATCATCCTCCACAACAACGTCCCTGATAAGCATGCCAGAATTGTCCTCTATGGGAACCCATTAATTTCACTGAAAGAGCACGTCTTCATTCCCCCGGAGGTCAACCCAAACATTCCTCCCTCAAGGAAGAATCAGTGAACGGAGACTCAGGGACTGAGCCTGAATTCTGGAGCTACTTGAAACCCGCTCGAAGTTTCTCAGGGAGTGACTGAGGACGTGTCTTTGGCTTTCAAGGACTACAAAGCATCAGGAGGAAGACACCCATAGGACTGTATTGGGGGATGGAATCAAAATTTAGACACCAACCCAATGGTGAGGGTCGATGGGGTACTATCATTCTGCAGAGTACATCTGGAAAGATTTATGGGGAGAGTTCTTAAATAGTGGGCTGGAGCGATAGCATAGTGGGTAGGGCATTTGCTTTGCACGTGGCTGATCCGGGTTTGATTCCTCCATCCCTCTAGGAGAGCCCGGCAAGCTCCCAAGAGTATCCCGCCCACATGGCAGAGCCTGGCAAGCTCCCCATGGCGTATTCAATATGCCAAACACAGTCACAAGTCTCACAATGGAGACGTTACTGGTGCCCACTTGAGCAAACTGATGCACAACGCGAGGACAGTACTCCAGGACAGTTCTTAAATAGCACAAAGATGGGAGGACGTTACTGACCTGGAGGAGGTCAGATTATTCTAGCAGTCAGGATAGTTCGAGAGCAACAATGGACACCCCACTATATCTTGCAAACCTTCAACTGCTGTCTTGTGTTTTTACGTTGGCGCCACCACTGACTTACAGTGATCTTAGCCCAGAGGCTGACTTCATATAGAAACACCTGTTAATAATTTCTGAAAAATCAGGCCTAGTCTGTAAAGGAAAATGGAGGAAAGATGCTACTTTATTATTTGAAAATCTTGCCAAGCTTGGCTCACAATTCTAGAAAACTCGATCCCTGTCTGCGATGCAGTTCTCGGCCTTGGTATCACCACTGGGATATCAACCTATATTGTATCATTCTATATGGCTCTTACAGACATCCCCTTTTACAGTATTGTCAGTCAGTTGGTCCTCCCGTTGTTCATCGATATGCTTGAGCGGGCCCAGTAACATTGTCTCATCGTGAACCCGGCTCTGCTGGGCCAGCTGCGTGCAAGGCAAATGCCCTACCACTGTGCTATCGCTCCACATAATTGTAAAGCTAAATTCTTGACATTTTGTTCCCCTGCCTACAGAAATAGCACTGCACTGTACCACTGTCCTCCCATCGTTCATCGATTTGCTCGAGCGGGCACCAGTAACTTCTCCATTGTGAGACTTGTTGTGACTGTTTTTGGCATATCGAATACGTCACCAGTAGCCAGGCTTTGCCATGTGGGCAGGATACTCTTGGTAGCTTGCCAGGCTCTCCAAGAGGAATGAAGGAATCGAACCCAGGTCAGCCACATGCCAGGCAAACGCCCTACCTGCTGTGCTATCATTCCAGCCTACTGGAACACAATCAGAATATTAGCGCACTAAATTTGCAACCCTCTCTTAATGCTCTTATCTTTGAATTCATCTTAGTGCATTTGTATTATCTTTGAAAAAATTTTGTATCTATTTATTATTTAGGAATTTCATTGAAGGATTAGAAAAGGATTTTCTACTCCCACCCCCCATTTTTTATTTTTTAATATAACAGGCTGTTGGGTTTGATAGAGCTGAAAATCCCCCAAATTAACCCAACCACTTGGCCAGTGAATGGTTCGAAGGGGCTAAATTTATTGACACTGAGTGTCCTGGGACTGTATAACAGAAGGTCCTGTTATATGCTCTTCTGTTCATTGAGGTGACCTCAGAGTCAGGTCCGTGGCTGATATATATATATATATATATATATATATATATATATATATAGCTGGAGTGATAGTAGGGCATTTGCTTGTACGCAGCCAACATGGCCAACCTGAGTTCGAGTCCTCTGCCCCTCTCAGAGAGCCCGGCAAGCTACCAAGAGTATCTCACCCGCATGGCAAAGCCTGGCAAGCTCCCCGTGGCGTATTCGATATGCCAAACACAGTAACAACAAATCTCACAATGGAGACGTTACTGGGCCCGGTCAAGCAAATCAATGAACAATGGGAGGACAGTGCTTCAGTGCACATACATCGGTGGAACTGTATCTGCTGACTTATGAGCAGCTGGCGGGGGGGGGGGGGGGATCACTGATTAAGAAAAAGTCTAGAAATCACAAGAAAGAGAAAACTGTGCCATAGGATCCCAGACCCCTAGAAAGGGCAATAAAATGAGAAGAAAGGCACATAACCCAATTGATGTCTCTTTTGGGCAAAATCACATTTTATTTACTATCAGTTTAATCATTTCAAATAACACACATTTTGCCTTTGAGTCATCTCGAGTACTCAAAACTGGTACAATGTGTAATTAGAGTTCATTCTTGGCACCG